CGACGCAAGACCCCTGTTACGCGCCTGCTTATAAGTGGGGCCCCCCACTTTGAAAAACGTTCCGCCGGCCCTGTGTATTATTGATAAAAATATATAAAAATTTAAAAAAGGTTTCAAACTCAAGGAAATGAATGTGGGTAGATTGCATGTCTGTCAAATGTACATTCACCTACTGAAAGGATCAGTTGGTACCAACCTTGAAAAATGTTGTCAATAAAGTTGTTATTATTCCAAACAATTTGAATTTTTGCAGCTAGTTCCTGTTCGTCAGTTGCATAATCATACTAAATGAGAATAAAAAAGAAAACAGAAAATAAAATTCTGAAAAAAAAATTGTAAGTGTAGCCACATCAAAATTTACAATACAAATGACAAAAGAACTTAAAATCAGAGTCTCTTAGGAGGTGCACTGGGAGGCTGAATGTTTGAGGATATTATACATTTATAGTTAATCTTTTAAGTGCAGAGTAAAGATGTATCAAACAAGGATAAAGTCTTACTTTGTATTGGGAACAGGTGATATTAGTTTGATTAACAGATGCTGGAATAGTTGATGTTTTTCCCTCAATTGTCAGCACACACTTATAGACAATGAGGACCTGAACAAAATTATGAATACAAAGAAAAATAAATAAGCAAAAAATGTTCAACTTGCTGTCAGATTAAAACTAACATAAAATTTGGTTCAAAAAACACTGGTAACAAACAAAAAAAATTTAAATTATAAACCTAAAACATTCTGTTATAATTGCTGACCTAAATATTTAAATTTAATATTAAATGACAATAAGAATATTATTTTATTAAGAATTTAAAAAAATGCATTTTTGGAATACAAAATAATTATATTTTATTTGAAAAAAAAAAAGTTATTATAGAGAACCTGTAAAAAACCAAAAACTAATGTTTATTCTACAATGCTCGCACTGATTGCATAATTAGTAAATGTTATTCTAGAATGTACTTCCTAAAACGAGTTGAATGAGCTGGTCTTAATATCTCTGAACTTGAATATACAGTTCCAGTTTGGGGTCAATATCACTCACAAATAAAACAAACTACAGGAACAGGTCCAAAGAGGAGTGCTTAATTGTATCCTCCTGAGGCAGATGTAGGGAGGGCGAGGGGGTGCAGACACACCATCCCTCCCCACCTGCCCCCTAAAAATTGTATAATAGATGTTCAATGTATGATATCCTGCATCCCTCTCATGATGAATAATGTGAATCAATATTACTATGTACAGTGTACAAATAGTTACTACAGCATTAGGGAGCTTTTCGATTTGTGCGACGACGCGACACTAGAACGGAATCACTCATGCGTGACCGTCCTACCTGGCGTCCTATTTTCTCTGCATATGTAGATTTGGCCAAATTGTGTTCCAGAATTTACTCGACGAGGTGACCTCAACGTTCTTGCATGTGACGTCATTACGTTCTACGTCCTACCGTCGTCGTGCAATCGAAAGCTCTTTACAAAGAATGTATGACATGACCTTTGACACTTATTTCTTACTTTTGTTGCACTTGGTAAATTCTTAACAGGTATTCGGACTTCTTTCTCTACACTCGCATGAATCAGTTCTTCATTGGTTTGACGGATAATTTGTGGACATGACTCATGACCTTGCATACCACCAGGAGCTGGGGTCACAGTTGCCTTATTAAAATAAATATGCACATATTGAAATATTTATTATGTAATTAGAGAAAATGTTCAAAAATCTCATTAAAAGCATTTACAATTTAAATTTATAATTTTAGTATTACAGCACTCACATTGCCATTCAAGATCACTTGATAATCTGCACTACAGAATGCTGATGCATTATGGGTACATGTGTTGCCATTGAGACACCAATCACAGGTGAAGCTGGTAACACATTCGGAACAACTAAAATAAAAAAAGAGTGGAGCTGTAGTCTTGGGTTCAAATCCATGTCCAATCCCTTCTCCTCTTAAACCTTATAGGGCACCCCATAATTTAAGTGTTACTCAAAGTAATACTTGCTGTTAGATATGTTCATACAGTGGAAGTGCACACTTGTGTCTGTATACTTTATATTACTATACCACACATGATATTAAAAATATACTGTATCATGTCCTTATGCAAACCTTAAAAAGTTAATTAAAACATTGAATATTTGTTATTTGGTAATACTTTTCTTTGGGTACAAAGTGCTGTTTTTCCTGGTCATTGGGCCACACACAAGTGTAGTTGCCATATTGGTGCAGTAACAGGCAACCCCACCAGGTACCCATTTACACTCCTGAGTAGAGAAAAGCAATGCAAATAAAAGTGCCTTGCTCAAAGACATAAGCAAAGTGCACAGGGAGGGATTCAAACACCCCAACCTGGAAGATGGGAAACCAAACCATTCCTGTTGCACCAAACCACATTCTTATACAACAGCAAATGACTCACCACTTACAGGGAAGTGACACGCTCTATAGTATAAGGGTTTTAAGGGAATGTAGCTTTGTGAAAAACTATTCTGGTGTTACAGGATTTGAATCCAGGACTAAATAAGATATATATTCCTATTCAAGGTAATTATACAGATAAAAAAAAAAACCTGCACATTTGCAGACCTTTCGCTAGATGCAAAATAATATTGAATCATTATTATTTATTGTGTTTGTAATTTGGCAAGAGCATTATTATAAAACAAACAATCTATATATTTTTTCTGTTAATTGTTTAGCTCATGCTGTGGTTTGGTAGTGAAGTTGCCTTTACTTTAAATCCTAGGGCAAAATTATGTATAACTTTTCTCACAACAAAAATTACACTTCACTGAAAAGGCCAAAAGAGACAAGGTTCTAGAACATTTATATACTTTTTAATAAAGACAAATTACACTAAGTACTTAATAGTTCACATGCTAAAATTTACATAATCAATAACAAACTAGAATTAGAATCTTTTTGATCAAATAATTTTTCCCACACTAGTTGCCTTTAAATTGTTCAAAACTATTCTGGTAATTGTAATTGGTGCAACCACAATTGTGCCAAATGCATTGTTCAATTCACAGTTCAAACAGCAGGCAATAGGTTTGAAGTGAGGATTTTCCTCTAGTATATAATAAAATTACATGTACAATGAACAACTCACGATAACAAACAATTTTGACATTACACAATTGATGGTCACAATAACCATCTTTGGGAGTTGTGGTGGATTTTCTCGATGTGAACAAACAAAGTGGAATTTTATCAGAGTTGCTGAACAATAAAAAAAGAAACAGCTACAAATGACTGAACTTCGACAAGACAGGTTCTTGATATATTTACTCTGAGATACTATTTGCTTTATTTCCTCAAAATCGTATTACAATTTTTCTACAGATTAAAATTGATTTACTTCCTTGTAAATTATATGTCTATATTTGGTGATTAAAAATCAGAATATTGGCTGTTTTCATTTTTCAATTTCATTTTACTATATATTTTTGGGTATAATGAATTAATTGTCCATATATAAAATAATGTAAAGTAATCTTATTCTAAAATGTAGGGTTTACAATTGAATTAGTATGTAGTGGGTTAAACAGTAAATTGTTCCAACTGATAAATGGAACAGTGTAATATTTAACTCATTATTACTAATTTATTTGTAATGAGTAGAACATTGTTTCAATTGGTAATTTAAATTATGAAAAAACATAATCAGATGGTACAAAATAATAAAAATAGTTATGAACAGTGCAATGACATACAGTAACTGTACATACAGTAACAGTTTATTTATATTTTAAGTTATTCACAGCCTGTGTTGGACTAAATACAAGAAAATGGCATAAATAAGATTGTTATTATTTTATTATAAAAATCTGTGCAAAAACTAAACTGTTTTGATCTCATTGAAAGCTAATAAGCTTAGTTGATATTTTCTAGGAGCAATTTTATTTTTCAATTGCCTCTTTGAGCCATTTTCTCATATATTTTATTACAGGCAGTGTACTTGACACAGTGTGACAATGTACTTGAAAAAGTTACAATAGACTGGAATTCATAGCTGACAATATGCAAACTTCATTTTACAAAAAACACATGATGCAAAGACAAATACAGTAATGATTGATCCAAACTAATTTGTATGAAAATAAAAATGATATACAATACAATACAATACATTATATTGTTTATATAACATTTTTAAATTTAAATCAACAATTTCTTTATAAAATTAGAAATTACTAATATAGTGAAAGTCATACAGTAGTTTGTAAGTTTTCAAATCTGTGATGCTTTGCTATAAAGAGAAATAAATATAATATAAAAATACAACATTATACAAAATAAAATTAAAGTAAAAAGTAATAAATTGTTTTTTTGTTTCAATGAAGATTACAAAATAATACAAAAGTAATGAAATCCAACTTACGATGTAATGGCACTGCAATCAAAGAACCTGAATTGAGTGGTAACAAAATCAACATCAGTTTGAGATGAATGCACAGATAACGAAACTTCCACAGCAGCTAAAAAGATGACACAATCAACTGAATTAAAAATATACTGCTCAAGAAATTAATTTAAAACAGTCATTAATTATTAGATAAAATAAATTATAATCTGGTATTGAAAAAAAAATATCAATGCTGTCATCTCACCTTCTTTGTTTGGTATCTGTGGCACTTGTGTTTTAGGTGGTGATGTGCAGGTGATCGTTTTTCCATCTTTTATTCCAGGTGACACAAAATCACCAAATTTACAACTATAATTTTGGTTGACATTTAATGGTGGGAGCTGCTCAACAGTTAATTTTACCTACGACAAGATAAGAAAAAAATAATAATTTATATTTATCCTCATCATTAGTGTTCTGCCAAAGGCAGGTCCCTCGTGTTTTAAAAATTTAAAAACCACTTAAAAATAATGCCTAAATTTAAAACATAGTGTAAAAATAGATTTTTTTTTTAAAATTTAGAATCACCAGAAAAACGAAATAGGCCGTCCAAAATAGAAGGTAAAGAACTTGTCGCGAAGCAACAGCCTAAGGGCGTAGCCCTTAGAAGAGGTACTGGCTTGGGAGGGGGTGTCCCCCTCTGTACGTATGGAAAAAAATAGAAAATTATGACCTTTTATAGTGCATTTAAAGGTGTTTAAATGTTGGAATGTCTTTTAAAGGAATAGTGTTGAATTAGCTATCACAAAGATATTCCAATTATAGACATAGACTGCCCACGGCTGCTCTTTTTTCTCACATTATTTTTCTAGGCAATGCAATGCATCTTAATCTCTCACCCTAGTCTAGTGTAAATTTTACTCTAGGTCGTCCAAATCGAGAGATGTACAGTATAGGCCTAGGCCTACTGTATTTTGTTAACTATTAAAATTGAACTTGTGATGTTAACAACAAATCTGCTTTACGGTATTTTATGAATTAATTATAACCAGTACTGTATTTGCAGAGCCACGTGCATGCATTGTGGGCAACTTAAAAACGTCCATTTTCCAGCGGGGTATAAATATGTTTTTAATATGACATACGCATGTTGTAAGTGAAATTTTCACTGTGTAGGTAATGGTTTAGTCTTACATTTTTGGGAATCCCCACTGAATACCGGTATGAAAACAACGTAACTTCAATCAATAAAATCTGTTTATCAAACGTAGGCTACTTTGAACTGAGTAGGCCAAGCCATCACGGTAGAAGTATCCGTCCTAAATAACTATTAAATGACGGTCGGACCGGACACCTCCCTGGCTAAGCCCTTGGCTGGTTTTGTGGTGCCATACTTGGTCCGAACAGAAGCAGTCTGTCTTAGATACAGCTCTGTTATATCTCTTGTCTCTCCTATCTATTCCTATGTTTAATATTTCACTTGATAAAGGTATGTTACCAGACAATTGGAAACATGCCAATATAGTTCCAGTGTATAAAAAGGGAGAGCGAGCTT